CCAAGAACACCCCCGTTGATAATATTCTGGAAAGTGATCCTCCCCAAGCCCAACTCAGCTGAGCCATAGCATTCTTGTTCAACTCCCATTAGTCCAGTGGAGCTTGAAGATGGAGAATTCTCAGTGGATTGGGTCCAGCTGGACTTAATAACCCTCTTCTAGTGCTTTCAAGAGTGATTCTTGCTGTGTCAAAGAGCTGCTTTTTGTAGCTCCCTGGTCTTTTTTATTTTTCGAGGGTGGAGGGAAATAATACAGTTTTGTTCATTTCTCATAACAAACTTTGGCTGACTTCTCTGACTTTTGAAAAGCACCCTTCCCCTCCCCTCCATCCCCAGAGCAAAGGCCTCTGTGAGGGGCTGAGAGTTGTCTGTAGGCAGCAGAAAAAAATTAACTTAAGTGTAAAATCCCCAATAATGAGATTTCCTAGAAGGGATCTTATGTACACGTTGAGCTGGACAGCCTGAAGGAAAATGTGTCAGTGATATCTTCAGAGTGTGCTGGGGTTATTTGCTTAAAGAAACCCAAAAAAAAACCTTAACCCTTTTGCAGTAGCCACAGCAAACTCTAAAACAGGCAGGCATAGAAGCAACAATCACACCTGCACAAATGAGATGTACCTGGATAGCCTGGTTATTAGAAGGTTTGGAAGGCAGGGTGTAAAGCAAATAATGATCATGTTTTGAATGTCTTTTTCTTGCTGCTTACTGATCATTTTCAAGATTATCATCCCATCATTATAATGATAGAGTAAGGCCATGGTCCCCAGTTGGTCTGAGTCCCATGGATTGTTTCTTTTGGTAAGGATCAACAAAATCACTTCAAGCAGGAAGAGGCAATCTAGTGACTCCATCTTTTGGACTACAGCTCCCGTAAGACCTAGCCAGCATAACCAATTATTAAGGATTATGGGGGTTGTGTTCTAAAATACCCAGAAAGCACCAGTTTTCCTACTCTTGGCTTGGAGCAATGGGACTGAATCCGGGCTTACTTGATTTCACACACACACTTCCAGGTAAAGGTAAAAGTTCCCCTTGACATTTTTAGTCCAGTCGTGTCTGACTCTAGGGGGCGGTGCTCATCCTGTTCTTCAAGCCGTAGAGCCAGCGCTTGTCCGAAGACAGTTTGCATTGTCACATGGCCAGCATGACTAGGGAACACCGTTTTACCTTCCCACCAAGATGGTACATATTTATGTACTCGCATTTACATGCTTTCGAACTGCTAGGTTGGTGAGGAGCTGGGACAAAGTGACGGGAGCTCACTCTGTCCAGTGGATTCGATCTTATGATTGCTGGTCTTCTGACTCTGCAGCACAGGCTTCTGCGGTTTAGCCCACAGCACCACCATGTCTCCACACACTTCCAGAGACGTTGGCAAGTCTTTGGGTTCAAGTCCCACGTCCAAATCCAAGTCTTTGTTACTAAGTCCCAAGTCCCAAACTCCAATACTGATTGCACTGGCAAACATTGTCTCAGAATACAATGTTTGCCAGTGTGATCAGTATGCTTATTCAGCTACTACACCTCAAGAAACAGCTATGTCACACTCAATGGTCTGAAGATAGCATTTGCCTTTTTATATAGTTCAATATGCACCTTTCAGGTTTTTTAAAAATCTGGATAATTAGGAGAGGGGTATATATATATTTTGCTATTACATGTAGATGTTTTATGTATTAACATATATACACTTAAGCTATGGTTACTTTCCTTCCAATGTTATTCTCAGCAGACTTTGTTTCTGTTGAATTCCTTTTTTTTTCCTGTTGTATTTGCAAGAATAAGAACTAAAGTAAACATATTTAAAGAGTCCACAAGTGATGAAAGAGATTCGGTTGGTGTCCGGAGAAAACAGCTCTTTCTTCCAACCCGCTCTACTCTTTGGAAAGCAATGCTTTGTGTGTTGTGTCACAAACTTGGATCACTGCTCGGTGGAATAAAAAGTATTGCCTGAGTCCCACCATCTTCAGTTACTGGACGATTGAATGTTGTTGTCCTTCAGATCCATCCCTCTTTCATATGCAGAGAAGGGGAATCTTGAAACAGTGCTGGTTCAAGAGAGCTGTGAAATACCGATAGAAAGATCTGGAGTAGAGCTGCTGCCAAGCAGAGGCCATGAAAGACATCTGCAGTTGGTGTGTGCCAGAGATTTTCAGCAATGATGCAGTTAGATAATTTAATTTTAAATATTGGAACTAATGGTCTTAAAGGGGACCCCTTTTAGATTAGGGTGTGGCAAATGCTGGCCTCCACAATGCCCAGAAGGCCCAGCCAGCATAACAAATAGTATTGTTTATTTGATTAGTTAATTTATATCTCACCTTCCTTCCAGTAAAGGGAGTCAAAGCAGCATATTGCCGCTAAAAAGCAGAAGTATTTAAAAAAATATTAAAATTTTAAAATGCACTTAAACAATGTTAAAACATCACTAGTCAAAACAAATTCAAACAAATGTAAAACATATGATGATCAACAGCAATAACAATATCAGTAACAATAAATGCCACATCCTCTATGGAACTTTAGTCCTGTCAAGGTATTCACAGATCAAAGACCAGTTCAAAATGGAAGGTTTTCACCTGCTGGTTGAAGGACTGTACGGAGGGGATCAAGCTAGCCTTGTGTGAAAGGGAAGTTCGCAGACTGGGAAAAGTATCTTAAAATGCTGTCTCTTGAGTTCTTGCTGGAAGCACCTCCAATAGTGCCTGGGACAGGCTGAGAGAAGTAGGGGTGGTATTATATGGGGAGATACAGACTTTTGACGAGTCTGGACCCAAGCTGTAGAGGGCTTCATAGGTGAAGAATAGCAAGGAAACACGCAAGATGCAATCCAAGAACAGCTGCTCATCCCTGCTTTAGACAGTAACATATATTGATCCACTAGCTTTCAGATGTGATCAGCTGACCCTGCTCGTTTGGGTGTAGCTTTTGTTGCTGATTGGAACCCTGGATTTCTTCCCCCAATGTCATAGCACCCAGATAGGACTGTTTTCATACTTTTAATAGAGAAGCCCTTCTGTGTTGAAATGCCTACCAAAGAATCCCACAGCAGTGCCCCAGCAGAATGCAAAGAATTATGGGATATTATTGTAGCACACACTGATTGCAGTCAGGACACAGGAATGGCCTGTTGAACCTCACTGTTTCTTCCCTTCAATTGGTGGTATGATCTCAAGCACACCCACAGGTATTCCAGGGATTTTGTGGTCTAGAACTCCTTGAATCCTCCAGCCAACACAGATTTAGACTTACACATCTTCTTGTAGCTTCATGTGCTGTGGAGGACGTTTAGCAGTAATGGGAGGGCTGTCTCCTAAGGAAAAGGAACTATTTCATCATTATTTTCTTTTTTCAGAGCCCCAAAAGAGCTGTAAAGTTCACTAGAACAATGTCTGAAGATCATCAGCTCATTTAAAGTTTAGGATAGACCATTCAAATTCTAAGAGAAATGACAACAATGGTCAAAATGCTTTTGTTCACAATTTCATTTTTATATTTCCAGCAACCTGAACTCTGTGACCATTTGGCCTTCTCTCCCTCTCTCCCTCTCCCTCTCCCTCTCCCTCTCCCTC